CCTGGGGGCAAAGTCCTAGGTGCGGCGAAGCCCTACGCTCGGAAGGCAACCTACGTGGGGATACCTGCATGGGGGCCCTAGGGGGCAAAGCCTTAGGTGGGGGTCCTAGGGGGCAAAGCCTTAGGTGAGGGGTCCTAGGGGGCAAAGCCCTATGTGGGGATACCTGCATGGGGACCCTAGGGGGCAAAGCCCTATGTGGGGTCAAAGTCCTAGGCGACTACATTTTGAATTTCCCACCATTTTTCCCGCCAAAAATGCTGCGCTCTGATTGGCTGGCGGGGGAGGGAAGGGGGAAGGGAAAAGGAGGAGGAGTGGGGGTAAAATTCGTCAAAAATGACCAGGATGAACCTCCATAAGAAAATACATGGGATTTTGGCTCCGTACGCCTATAGTATAACTACTAGTGTCCTTTAGGAATTTGGCACATTAAAAGATAACAAAAAATATTTCTATAATGTATCAAGGAAAATATATTAAATTAGGTTTTCTATAATTTTTTATAAATTATAAAAATGTCTGAACATTGTATTTATTATTAATTATGTCCCTATATTTTAACTATACAGTACATGCACGGTTAGAGTGAATGAAATCAACAACTTATTTATTTTATATTCTTCTGAAAATAAGTAAGCTACCTTTATTTTTACTCTTTCGAAAAAGTGATTACTAGGAAAAGTTGTTTGGAATTAAAAGTTACAAAATAATTCCCATTTGTGGCAAAACTTCCCCACTTTGATTACCAATTTACAAAAATTTATGTTCACAGTTAGATTGATCAGAGTGTGAAAATGTTATAATTTTCGACAAAGTTTGAAGTATGAAAAAAGATATATAATTCCAAGTTATGGCAAAATTGGTGCATTTTGTTTATTAATAGATGTGTCGAAAGGAAGAAACATTTTTTCTAGAAAGTTTTGCTTGTGGTTTATAACAATAATTATTCAATCCTTGACATTATTTCATTTTACTTCAAATAGTATGTTGCAACGAAATTTTATTCGACGACATTTTATTCTTCACTTGTGTCAATGTACGTTTAAAAAAAACAGTAAATGAATATCCTACGATGTCACTAAGGAGACGTTCAAAATACAGGAGTTGTGAAAAAAGTTGTGAAATAAAATTAAATTCTGTTAAAGGGAAACATCTCGTTTTTTGTCTGTGTATCGAACGAAACTTCCATCGACAAATTATGTTTTCGGACAAATCCACTTTTTCGACAAATGGCATTCTTGTTTCGCAAAATTTCCAATATAAGAGTGCCGCGAATCCTCATTTTAAAATACCATCTAGGCAATAATATTTCAATATAAATGTTTGGTGTGCGGTTTCCTTTTCTAAAATAACACAGGCACACAAAAAAAAATGTCAAGGTCAAGACCCAGAGGGTAGACCCCCCTGCTCTTCCGTTTTTGGGGTCGCTGAAACCGAATATGACCATAAAAAAATTTTAACTAGTAATTTCCCGTTACCACCCCCATACACCCCCTTTTGGGAGTTGAAATGTCAATTCTCATACAAAGTCGAGTAGGGTGAGTATTCCTATGTTTTCTGAGCCACTAAGAACGAAGAAGACTACCAAAAATGAATAAGACCCCCTCGTTATCCCCTAGCGTCACTTTACCACCCCATACACCCCTTTATGAGGGTTGAGGTGTAAATTTTCATACAAAGTCGAGTGGGTTGTGTATGCCTACATTTTCTAGGCTGCTGAAAACAAAGAAGACTACCGAAAATGAATCCAACCCCCTCGTCAATCCTTAGCACCCTTTGCCACCCACATTTGTTTTCAGCAGCCTAGAAAACATACACAATCCACTCGACTTTGTATGAAAATTGACACTTCAACCCCCATAAAGGGGTGTATGGGGGTGGGGTAAAATGACGCTAGGGGGTAACAAGGGGGTCTTATTTATTTTTGGTAGTCTTCTTCGTGCTTAGTGGCCCAGAAAACATAGGAATACACACCCTACTCGACTTTGGCTGAGAATTGACATTTCAACTTCCAGAAAGGGGTGTACGGGGGTGGTAAAGAGATGCTAGGAGGTAACGAAGGGTCTAATTAATTTTTGGTAGTCTTCTTCGTTCTTAGTGGCCCAGAAAACATAGGAATACACACCCTACTAGACTTTGTCTGAGAATTGACATTTCAACTTCCAGAAAGGGGTGTACGGGGGTGGTAAAAAGACGCTAGGGGGTATCGAGGGGGTCTAATTCATTTTTGGTAGACTTCTTCGTTCTTAGTGGCCCAGAAAACAAAGGAATACTCACCTCACCTGACTTTGTCTGAGAATTGACATTTCAACTCCCAAAAAGGGGTGTACGGGGGTAAAGGGACGCTAGGAGGTAACGAGGGGGTCTAATTCATTTTTGGTAATCTTCTTCGTTCTTAGTGGCCCAAAGAACATAGGAATACACACCCTACTCGACTTTGTATCAGAATTGACATTTCAACTCCCAGAAGGGGGTGTATGGGGGTGGTAACGGGGAAATGTATAGTTAATTTTTTTTATGATCATATTCGGTTTCAGCGACCCCAAAGACGGAGGGGACCCAGAAGGTAGACCGGGCCTTGACATTTTTTTTGTGTGCCTGTGTAATAGGGCCATACCTTTTTTCACTAATAAATTGGAAAATTTACCACTAAACCTCCGAAATTCTTTTTATTTCCAGCAAGACGGTTGTTTGGCGCATTATTCTGTAATTGTTAGGATTTGGTTACAGAATATATGTCCCAATCGCTGAATTGGAGGTTATAGTCCATATCCATGGCCTCCACGTTGTCCAGATTTAACGATCATTGACTTTTATTGTAGGGTCTACTGAAACAATTATGTACTGCAGAATTTGGGCGATAACATTGACCAGCTAAAACAATACATTAGGGAATCTATAAAGTCCATATCTTTGGAAGAGGTTAGATGAAGGTATAATCAAGTTCTCGCTTGCCTTCAAATTTTTATGGACATTCTTTTCAAAATTTATAACATTTTTCAAAAAATTAAACCAGTTTTGTATACAAATCGTTTTATTGAAAAAATGAAGTGAATTTGCTAAGTATTATTTTTTGGAACGAGTAAAAATAAAGGGAATTTACTATTATGACATTTTGATATCTTTTAATATTGTGAATGGATAAAATCTATGAAATGTTAACTTTCTCATTTTAAATATAAGCACAATTTTTTTAACAAGTGTGCTTTTTTATGTAAAATGTATAATAAAATTGTTTTCCCGGTAACCATGGACATACTATTAACCACGTATTTTTAATAAAAATAATACTTTCTGGGAATCAATATTAAAAAAAAAATCTCTCTAAACCTCACAGCTTCAACTTCAACAAAAATTTAAATTTTCAGGTAAAACCAGTGCAGCACAACAGCGTATTTTGGCCCAAAAAAAACTTGTTCAACCATGGATAGGAGTTGGAAATGTTGACAGCGTTTCATTGGACACTATTAAACAAAAATTAAAACTTTCGGTAAATGCTTTTCCTATTATATTTTCCAAATTTTCAATAAAATACGACGATGGTTCAAAATCTAGTATTCGTTAAAGAATAAAAAATATATGTACAGAGTGCTATAAATATGTGCAAGTATGCGGTGCCCAACTTTTTATATGACTTGTAAAGCCGTATAATATTTTTCTAACTTTTGGAAATTAGTAACTACCTGTATGTATTTTTTTAATACACCCGGGTGTTTCATTAGGAATACTTTGTGTTGGCAAGTCGACGCCGTAGAAAATAGAACAAGTAATATGTTTGTTGTAATTTATACCTACTCTTTTAGACTATATAAAATAAGCATCAATATAAAAACAAGAAAATGCATACAAGAAATAAAAATATGTAACAAAAATCAATTAACAATCTAAAAAATGGAACATTAACAAGAATAATCTAATATAAAATAGTGTAATATAACTATGTTTTAAGGTTGATGTTTATTATACTACAAAACCACCGTAAAACCACGTGACGTCAAGTATAGGCAACCAACATTGCATGATTGGTACTATAAATTAAAAGTCCCTCAGTGCAATTGTTGGCATGGTTACAAACGTAATTAAATAAAATTGAGATTTATTAATCTGAACTGTTGACATTAAACTTAATACCACAGACAATATAAAAAATACTTTTGTTTTTTCGTTGAAATGCTTTTAATTTTATTGTAATGTATGTATTTTTATATTTTATTAGAGAGTAAAATAGACGGATACAGAGTTTATTTTTTCTTATAGATAAAACAGCATTATAAAAAAGTGACTGTTTACTATATGATTAATTAACAAACCATTACTCTAATAATATTGTTTTATTGCAATATGAAATAAGCTCAAACTCATAAATTAATCCCTACTCTATATTGCCATATTCTTGATAAAATCATTACAATATCTTATCCTTAATGGAATCCTTATTTAACAATGCACAAATTGACTTGTTCATATTTTTATACACATTTTGCAGCTATAATGTTAGTTTCATCTTTCATGAATATCCTAAAATATCCAAACAAAAATAATCAAAAGGAGTTAGACCCACTTATCTAGCTGGCCACAACCCTTGAATAATCAGATATCTTGTTGAAAGTGACCCAATTGCAACTCAATATCATGTAATTTTACTAAAAATAGCTCTAAAATAAGGGTTCGATATTTTTCAGCATTTATAAGTTTCATATAAGGAATAGATATTTCATATAGGGACAGAATCACATACTACAGGGAAGGATATAAGCCCTACTACTACTACGTCTTCTTAATATTACTATCAAACGCCTACTTTTAAGGGATGTAAACTAGTTTATACAAATGCATAAGAATTTTCAGTAGCCCAGGCTCTATAATTTAGCTGATATGTGAAACCATGCTTTGTCAGTGAAAAACGATAATCCCAATGAATTATTCATGTTTTCTAAAAACAACTGACATGTAATCGTATTCCATGGTTTACAAGAAGTAAATCCTGAACAACAGATACCTTGTATGAGTGTACTACAATTTGATTCCAATTTCAAATAAAAATTTCAAAGTTAATACATTTTAGAGAATTTGAAAAGACTTAATAAAAGAAATACATACATACTTTGGTAAAGACTTTATGAGACCTATTCGCTTATTATCGACGATCTTTTCTGTAAGTACAGTTGGTCTGCCCGTAGATTTTCCTTTTGTGTAATGCGTTCTGAAATAGGAATATAATTTATCTCAAAATTTTGTTTGGTTTACAAACTTACCAGTAATTCCACGAAGTGCCAAAAAAGTTTACAAAATAACTGATTACTTTGAATATGTACGATTTAATATTAAAGCAAAAAGGAACAATGTTGTTTCATAATTAAATACCCTACTGGCAAAGTCAAGAGCAAAGTTTACTAAATATTGCATATTTGCCGCTAAACAACTTTTTAAGCCACTTGCCCTAATTGTTTCTGTGTCGTCCGAACACTTCCAAGAAAATTCACCTGTTCTACAGCCGCACTTTCAAATTCAGACGGGTTCTTCCATGTAAAATTTACAAAGACATCAACTTCTTCCGGAGTAGAAACTTTTCGGCGACCTTTTCCTTGAGTTCCTTTTAAAGCGTGTTGTTGTCTCCACTTCTGCTTTATTCTGTCTGCAATACTTTTACCAATATTGAACTAAACAACCAGTAGCCGTCTAGACCATTAATCTTTTAATCGTTAAGTATTCTCGTTCTCGTTACTTCATTTATATAAGCAAGCTTATAAAAAAATCATAGTAACCAAAACAGCCTAATTAATAGTCATAAATGCACTTAGTTTGCAAGATAAATCTTAAGATATAAATAGGAATAAGATTTCTACGGCGCCGGCTGTATATATGGGGTGTTCTTCCAGTCCTTGTCATAACTTCAGGGGCGAGTTCATTAAACTACACAGCCCCACAAAAAGGTTATGTACCAGACATGAGAATTTGCGTATTTTTTTATGCTGAATCCGAATCCGCTGCCCAAAAACCGATCTACAAGGGCATTTTTTAGTAAAACACTAAAATATCCCCAAAAATAGGGTGAAATCGTGACGATAAGGTAAAGCGACAATTTGGAAATACTTTGATAAAACATTTTAAAACAATATTTTGAGCAATGGAAAGAAATAAAGGGGGATTCACAAACGGTGACCAAAAATGAAACCTCGTATTCTTTGATGAATTTTAAGGGGAATCTTTCGTATAAAATTTTTATCTTTTTTAAAAGATACAGTGTTGAACTTAAAAAAAAATATTTGTAATTTTTTTAAATAATTTAAAAACTAGTAAGTGAAATAATTTGAAATTGGACACATGTATTTAAACATTGTCTAAAAATGACGCCTTTTTCTAAAATTTAGATGGTTCAGTGGCGGAAATACAGGGTATCTGTGGCATATTTGTTTAAATAAAATAGTGCGCCCACTGCTTTATGGTACCAATCATGATATTTTCGGATTCGTCTTTCAATTTTCTGCGAATTACTACTCTCTTATGTTTTTCGAAAAAAGCCTGATTTTCGAGTAAAACTTAAAAAACTAACTGAAAACACTTTTACTTAAATGACATGGCAAGCACTAATCATTCGGTTATTTATTCGAATAAAGAAATTAATTACATTATAGGCATCATTTTAATGATTTTATTTGAGTAAATGCTCAAAACCTCCATTTCCACGAACACAGGCGCCACATCCTTTTAGTAACGAAAATGCAATTTGTTCGAAATTTATTGTTGATTAAATCTGATGAAAAGCATTATTTATTATTTCTTCTAACTGCTCAGGTGTATTAATTTGTTCATTGTATACCAGTCGTTTAACAGCACACCATAAAAAGAAATCCAGTGAGATTTTCAGTTCATTTTTTAAGTTTTACTCAAAAATCAGGCTTTTCTCGAAAAACATAAGAGAGTAGTAATTTGCAGAAAATTGAAAGACGAATCCGAAAATATTATGATTGTTACCGTAAAGCAGGGGCGTACCTACTATTTTATTTAGAAAAATATGCCATCGATACCCTGTATTTCCGCCACTGAGCATCTAAATTTTTTAAAAAGGCCTCAATCAAAATTTGCTGCAGGGTAGTAAGAAAATGCGGGACCAATTTTTCTAGTTCCTGAACCGAAAATATAAAAAGGGTTCATATTTTGTACAAAAAAGGTACTCTTGTTAGATTTTAATAGTGAGCCGTTTTCTAGGTGCTCAAAAATTCCTGCTGCAATTTTCTTACGGCCCTGTAGCAAATTTTGATTTTTATATTATACTGATTATTAAGCATAAAAATAGTAATACAACCCCAAAATTTCGTGACTTAATATTAATCCATTTTGAAGTTGAACAATAAAAACTTTTTCCTGAGTTACCCCTGCAAGGGGCCGTATGGTCGCCACTGACAAAACTGCTAAGGTTTTCATCATATTTGAAATCTTAAGTAGGAACTCCTACTTTTTATTACAGATTCAGATTTTACGGCTAAAAGTACGTAGTATTTGTCTTAAGCATTATTTTTTATTCGTGATAGATAATAATAATAAATAATTACAACATTTTCAATCTTATTTAACAGGCAGGCAAACAATATGTCAATATATAGAGCACAGAATCTACCTTAAATCCTTTATGTAATGATGTACCTCAAGGGTCAGTATTAGGTCCTGTGCTTTTCCTGATATACATCAACGACTTGCCGGTCAATATTCCTAACAGTACATGTATCCTCTTTGCGTAAAGATATGAATTCGGGTAGTTTGATTGCGGTGGAAAATTGGTTTTCAGCGAATAACTTGAAGCTAAATGTTTCCAAAACTCAACACCTAACATTTACTTCTAGTAAAATCCAATCCAAATCGGATGTAAAGTATTTGGGTCTTACTCTAGATTCTAGTCTAAACTGGACAGCACATGTTGATAACCTATGTTCAAAACTATCAACACAAATATTCCTGTTAATACAGCTGCGTCCTTCAGTTGATAATAGTGTAATGAGAATGGTGTATTACTCTTTAGTTCATAGTCATTTGACATACGGCATTGCACTTTGGGTTAATTCTAGTAATGCCCAAAAAGCTTTCATTCTGCAGAATGCTGCGGTTCGTCTTGTTGCTGGTGTATCTAGAACTACTTCTAGTGGCGATTTATTTAAAAAAATTGAGGATTTTACCACTTGCATGCCTTTTTATATATGAATCCTTACTTCTTATTCATAAAAATGTTGGAAATTAGGTCAAACATTTCAACGTACACCAACACTGTACCAGGCATGCTGAGAATATTGTTATTCCATTTTCCCGCATTAACATTACAAAAAATAATAAACTAGAAATTGGACTTTGTAACAACTTTGTTAATAATTTTAAATACAATAAAATCAAACAGATGTCTTGTAAAATCTTTCAAAAGTTTGTTAAAAATTTCTTATTGTCTCACTGTTTTTTATCTATTGACGATTTTTATTCATATATGTGTACCAGTACTTTTATAAGTACCTGACTTTATGACTGAAAATGTACTTATGAATGTGAATGAACTTCTATTCTATAATCAACAAAATCTAAATTAGTCTTAAAGTCTCAGTTACTGAAAAACGACTTGTCAAGAAATTATTAGTATCTTAACCCAGGAACAGGCATTCCTTTTTGGGATACTCAGTCAAAGTGATTTCCTTCGCTTGTGACTTATCGGAATGCTTGATTAAATCTGCTTTCAAACGTATGTATTTTTTCGTATTTTGTTTTAAAAATACCATTTCTTTTGTTAAAAATAATTTTTATAAAAATATTTTTTGTCATTTCTTTCCTCGTGTCTTTTGTAACTGTAAAAACACTAAATAAATGTAGAAGGAAATAACTTTTTAGAAACAACTCATTTTAATCGAGCACCCCGAAGGAAACAAAAAACTACCATGTCCACGTCGTTGTTCCTGGGTTAGTCTAAAAGTAATTTATTCACCAACCATTTATATTGCTACAGGTAACAATTTCCCAGTTATTCGAAATTTGCAACTTTTTTGGTGACGAATTTCCAGTATTTATATAAAACGTGGTATTTTTTATTGCAAACACATTGCAGAATCGTATGCATAGGTCGATTACCAAGCCCGCCAAATCTGCAATGAAAAAGTAGGGGTTCTCATTTCTGTAGTGTGTTTTATGTGTTAACATTTCAAAGTTACCGTTCGTCCCATTACAAGGAGGGATTATGAAAAATTGTTTCATAGAATGCTTATTTTCGAGATAGGTACTTGAAAGTACGTAGTACTATGTTAAAATAATCACCCATTATATTGTAAATACTAACTTATTTGTACATAGCTCCCTCCCAAATTTAAAAAAGTAAGATGAGCGTTTGTATTCTTTGAGCGTCTTTTGTTTGCAAGCAAGTAGTAGATTTTGAATGACCCTCGTATTTTTTCTGATTACTCTCTTAAAATATATCTAACGTTACTGACGCTAGCTTTTATTCTCAATTTCTAGTATACTGCTCTCTCCAAATCCCTTCCTGAAAATATTAACATCTTGACTTACGAACCTTGGAAAAACGACACTTATCTTCTAAGATTTGAGCATATTTTGGAGCAACAAGACGACTCCGTTTTATCGAACGTTACTACAGTAGAAGTCAATGTAAGTATACCACAAAAGGTAACTAATTATTAAATTAAATTTTGAGCTAGCGGCCCCTTAGTTCATTTCACCGTAAGTCTTAAAGTAACATACGGGTTTTAATACCAATTTTCACACGGCACTACTGCAGCAGCGCAGAATAGCATTTCAAATATCCGCAAAAGCGCAGCGCAACAGCAGGAGTTAAACGAACCTGAAAGTATTGTAGCTGCTTCATCACAATACTGCGGAAAACTAATTAACTAAACACTGTAAAAAGCTTTTTTCTTTAATTTTATACATTTTTCGCTCAAGTTTAATTAATTATTATTTATTTACAAATTCTGAAATATTATTCCACATTTTACATTTAAATGTTTATTACAGTAGACGCTATGTTTGAAATAGAGGTAAGTTTATCTAAATCATGAAATAGTTTGATATACTTACAAATTAAAGGAACGAAGTTTAAATAAAGTAAAGTTTAAAGTGAAACCTATTTTTCTCTAGAACGTTGCATTTTGGTAACAAGTAAACTCATTTCCAGTAAATAAACCCCTGTGATTTAAAAAAATACGACAAAAGACTGCTTCGAGTAGTCCTAGCAATATCAATATTTTATGTAGAAAATAAACCCAGTATTTTCAGCTACCGCAAAACTCCCCTTATATCAAATTGTATTGAACTAATCTTAAATAGCAATTGTTTAAGGGCCCCATATTCTTTAAATAGTGTTTTCCGCAAAGACAAATAATTTCAAACATTTAATAACTGAATAATCTAAAGCTTATCAAATAATAGGAATGTTATGTCATGCCACCTGAGTATTTTCAATGACGCCGCAGTAAAACGAATAAACAGGTTCAAAAAACGATCAAACCATCAAGGTTTTAGGTACTGAAATCTACGAAAATACTAACTTTTTTATATATAATTCCACATGTAAATATTCTTATAACATTTACTT